TCTGCTTGCCACGAAGTTTATGCTTTATATGCTTCAGTAGACCTTTGCCATAGGCTTACGTTCAAGCGTTGGCTTACTTCAATAAACACCAAACTCTCAATGACGACCATCTTCACAAGAATTATTTGTCGTGGTGTTGGTGGAATAACAACAGTCCAGAGGTGATTATTTCCATGAAATCAATATATGAAATGAAAGGACATTCCGGTTGACACTATATAAATAAATATATATATATTTATATATATATATATATAAAATTGTAGACATATAATATTGCGACCAAAAAGTAAGACCAATATTCAAATTAAATCGTGTAAGGATATCAAACATTTGATATATATTTTCCTTTTCTTTATAGGTAGCACTGTGACAGATACCTGTCTCTCTCTGTCACATTAGTGTTTCAGCTGAGTTTGAGATTTTGTACGACGCCATAAATATTTTTTTTACGATTTTTACAATGTGTGTGAGGATATGAATTCTGACGAAGAATCGGTCGTGAGATGACGCTTACAACCCAGAAATAATATATCAACTGAGCAAATATTACGCAAAAGTTGAACCAGGATCGAGAAAACTGTGCCAAAGTGAAGGTTATGTTAACAGTTTTCTTCTTGTGTGCACTATGACTTCGTTCCGCCGGTCCAAATTTTTGATAAGGAAGATCATATGGGTTTGACAATTACTTTAAAGGCGGGGAAATAGTTTTGGTATAATAAAAAGATTCAAAAAAGGATAATATAAAATTGGTCTTACTTCTTGAACACAGGACTGGTGTTTGAGAAGGAAACCCAAATTTATTAATTAAAATTTACTGTCAAATTCATAACTTATTTGGATTGAAAGTTAATTGAAATGGGACATGGGAAAATCCCTTGTATTGAGTAACACTGTGTAACACCGATAGCCTTCAATGAATCAGAAATTGTGATCAAGTGATAGACTTCATTTAAATTACTACAAGCAACTCTGAGCGAGTTAAACAGCTCGTAATTGTATTTACAACGATAAAGCTTAATAAATACAAAGGAATTCCGCTGAAATTTCATTCACACTCGATCTGTGATTGTCAAAATCTTATCAACGAATGATAGACGGGGATGGACTTGATCTTCGTGATGACAACATTCTTGACATTTTGCGTTCTCGCTATTTAATTGGCTAAATAACACAAGAAGAAGAAGACGGACAGACTACCATAGTAAAATTAAAATCTGGAGTTACTCTATCCTAGCTTGTTCTTCTTTTTCGATGTCGCACTTGGAATTCTAAAATTACTTTACCGCTTTCGACTGACGGGAGGTTATTGAAAAAATTACTTTTCAGCTTTTTTTTCGCATTTTGACATTTTTGTTTTTCATTTATTTAGAAAACTTGACAAGTTTTGTTATTTTTATCTTATCGCTTTTTAAATATTTCGTAAACAGTATGTACTTCAATAAAACGGTGAGGTTCTCTTCTTTTTTTTTTATTTTTTTTTTATCAGTAACTGAGTATGGAGTTCGTTTTCTTCTTCTTATTTTTAAAACAACAACATGTTCAATTGATATATTTTTGGAATTTCATAGCAGAAAAACTTTACCAATACAAGTGTCCCTCTTATTACGCATGATATTTTAAATGGTGCCCTTTCTTTCTCTATTTTCCTTGTGGAATTGTTTTTCAAAGTCTTTTCGATCTCACTTTAAATTTAATTATCTGAGAATTAGAAAATTCTTTACAGTTACACTATAAGAAATACCTAAGAATGTTATAGTCAGACAGGGCTTTCCTTTAGACAGCCTATAGTACTTCGCTTAGCAGAGTTATTTACTCGGCTAGGTAACATGTGAAGAACAAGTAAGAACATTATAGTCGAGCAAGGCTGACCATTAAATACCCCACATGCTACATTGTCTAACACAATTCTTCTTCTTACTATAAAACAATGTATCTTGTTTATATATAAAAACATATTTTTTCATATACCCTTTTATGTATAAGCCGGTCCAAAAACGTTTAAGACGTCCAGAAGGATTTATCAGTAACCCCACAAAGTATATATATTCTTGATCAGCATCAAATTCTAAATCAATGTAACCATGTCCGTCTATCCGCCTGCGCAATGTTTGTTGTCAACTTTCTCCAGGCACCAAAAGTTGGAGTTATCGACTTCAAATTTGGCAGAAACATAGAAAGTTGGGCTAAATCGGTTGAAGGACACGTCCACAACACCATTTAAAATAAAAAAATAGATCTACATAATTTCCGGTTTTTAAAAGGAAGAAAATATTGTTTGTTTACTCATTACTCAAACGATAGCAAAAAATTTATTTTATGGCCAGTGCTGTAACAGTGTTGCAAAAATGGAAAAAATTGTCCACGCCTATCAAATATTATAATGTAGCAAAATATAATTTTGTTTTCTATACCTTAATAAGGCGCAGAAACAAAAAACACCCTAAAGTATATAAATTCTTTTCCAGTTTCGAAGTTGGCATGCACTTAAACATGTCCCTCTGTTCGTCCGTCTATCTGTTTATCTGGGCAGCTGTGTAGTATTTGTGATAAACGCATTTCCATTAGCGGAGACGAAAATATCGCCCACAAACTTGCAAAAGAATTTGGAAGTGCCTTAAATTTTTCCAAGGACGCACCCAACACGCTCGCATGCTTATGACACATAAAGTTTTATTTTGTAAATAGAAAATATTTGCCGCGCCCACTGCCTATTGTTGAGTGTGAAAACTTGGTTCTTTTACTTATTTTGTCTGCTTTAGGATAACGGTAAAGGGCATAAAAGATTCGGTAATTAAAAAGTATTGATATGCAAAATATTCTTTACTCCATATATGCTATGTGCCTATATAGTCTGTACGTGTACGCTTAAATAATTCATTATAGTAAATAGTGATGAATTTACTTATGCTTAGACTTTCAATCATAATTACTTGGTATGAATGAATATAGAGAGAGAAAAAAGAAAAAGGATTCGTTTTTGCCCGCAGTGATTGGCTTGATTAGTTTTTCACCGTAGCATTACTGCTATACTTTTGCTCTCCACAAATCATTTATTAGATATTTACACATGTATTGTGCCGCTTTATAAAATAAGTGTATATTCGTTCTCATTT